CTTGTAGAAAGGCGAAACCAACGCAAGGTTGGAAACACGAGTCAAATATATAACAACCATGTTTTCGACTTACCCATCTTCATTTTCTTCTTAGTTTTTTTTTGAATGATTTTTTTCCATCGGCATTTACCTGTCTGCCTATCTTTTTGAATTTCTTTCATTTCAAACATCTTTCGTCTAAATCCTAAATATTTATCTTTTTTTCAACGATCTCATTGTTATTTCATTTATTTATTTTTCTTCTTTGTATGTCTTTGTTATTTGTTATTTGCTGTTTTTTTTTATTTTTGTACACTTTTTGTAGAATTACGGTACTTTTGTCGTACATATTCGTACTCATTTTTTAAATAAATGCGATTGGCTTTTTTCGCTTTTCATTGATATTTTTTGTACTTTTATTTTTATGCATATTTAGTTTCCGATCTTCAAAACAATGTTCATATAAGTGGCGTTTCTCTTTCGGAATATCCAACTTTTCAGAATCAATCGCCACATTGCGAAAGTTCGTCTGATATAGGTTAGTTCGTTTCTTTTTGATCTTGTACATCATTAACTTGTTATTTTTTCACACCTATTGTTTTAATATTTAGTCTATAGTTATTGCCTTATACCTTCTTGCATATGATGTAGGCTTTAAAGTTTTAATATATCTACAACTGTAGTTTTACAGTCATATGTCATTCTCGTTTTGTTTTTATGTTGAATATTTCACAAATTGTCATTTTTACTTTCTCTCTCATATTATCTAGATCGTATTCCGCTAATCATTTTGATTGCCTTCATTCTGTTCGCGACATTTGGTTTGGTATTTGCCTGGTCATTGTACAGACGTTCAAATAGTTCTCGTTCCATTTCAAAATAACCTTATCTTTGCTTGATAGTTACTCCTGTTGTTTTGTTCAATAGAAGTTTTCATTATCAAGTTAATATTATGCTTCTATTTCAGCTTCATAGTATTCTTGATAATAGCAATGAAGTTTAGTGTGACGATAGCTGTTGACTATGATCACCACCACAGGATAACTACGTGCCAATTACCAGGTTAGATCTCTCCGTAGGCCAAATATCAGGAGGCGATTGAAGGTTGTAATAATATGTATTTGCCGGCGACCTCATTGTGTCGGAAGAATACCGAGATCATGCCAAAGTTTGCAAGCGGAACTACTAAGAGTGCGCGAGTTCGTGCAAGGTCACTGACAATGGAAGGTTGTGTGTTTTTAGTACACTTGAACAAACAGGTACGGTAAAACAATCACTGGCGCAAATGGTTATAATAACAATTGTTTCCATTATACCAATCGCGTTCTCTTCATAAAGGTAGGTCACTACAGAAAAAACGCGGAATGGTCGTTACGACTGGTACATTGTGATTGAAGAGCTTATGCTATTTGAACACAATTCAGATTATGATCAAGAAATCACCTAACTGTTTAGTGCTTGAGCTCAAAGTCAAATATCTTGGATTCGAGTTTCGCGTGGGAAACTGTGGATAAGAACTGATGAGTAGTCCTGTTCTAGGAAGAAGCGTCCATCCTGTTCTTTTGGGTTTTTAATGGCGGTCGAACTCATATCGGTTCAAGGTTGCAATGAGATTCGACAACCTCTACGACCACATACTAATAAGTCATACTGATTTATGTGAAAAAACCCGAAAACACCCGAATTATTATACAATCCGTCGATTTTTAAAGCTTTTCGAAAGCGCGAAGATAACCGTGTGACAAGTTTATTTCTGTATGTTTTGGATGCTATTTGTACCTTACATATGAAAGCATTACCAAGTGATTGTGCTATTTAATGAGTAAGAATATCGAAACATTTTGTTTAGAACATCACGTGTTCATCTTTAGAAATCTGCAACAAAATGTATTTTAGTCTTTTATATCAATGATTTTAAGTGAGTATTTTAAGTAGATCCTGAATAATACTTATCAATTTTTAGTATTCAGCATTTATGTGGCGAGCTGATACGAACTATGAATTTGAAGTGATATATAGAAATATGAATTGTTCCAATCACTCTAGGACCTTAACAAGACGCAATTAAGAACCCAAATTCGATTTATGCAGTGTGAAATTCCATTGTACTGTTATTATATTTTTGAATACAACACAAAATATTCAACTGTACAGTAAATGTATTGGTTATTCGCTATACGAACGAATTAATTTCGCTTATATTTGCATCTTTCCAATGGTAAATGGTCCTAGACCATTTCTGCCGTCCTATGAGGATCTTTTTAGTTGACGGCTATTGCACTTCTACTGGTTTAAAACATAGTTCGTGGTCAATGTTACGTCCAATTTTTTTCTCTAGCTTTTTATTGAAGTACGGTATGTCGATCTATTTGCAATTTATGAACCCAACTTAACAATAGAACCAACCTCAATTTAAGCGCCAAAGTTTATTCGCAATTTACAAATAGCCGACCCAAATGCGTTTTAACAATAATTACAACAACCGTAGAAACAAGCCTTCGATTTTGTGGGTTCCGGAGCAAAAACTCACAGGTACCGAATAAAGACAAACAGAAACCAAAATGTCCGAAAATAATGATATAAACAAACAAGTTTAGACGTTGAGTAAAATGAATACATTCAAAAACAGTAAAATTAAGGATATTCGATAGAAAGGTTGCAATCAGCCAAATGTCTTTAGTCCTTCCGTAACAGTCAATTCATCGTAAAAACGTCAAACGGACAAACGTATCCTTGTGATTTTAAGCGTCTTTGGAGACTTATTCTTCTGTGGCATACGTTTAATTGTCTCTATTAATTTTCTACATCAAAACTTACATCATGTGCGTCACCCTCTCAAATTATACAGCATTATGTATTTTCTCCACCGAGTAACATACAAAGTAATAGCTTTGCAACGAATTGCTTACGTTGCAGTAATCAGAAATATGAGTAAAGATCATTATTCAAGGGTTATTGTAGGTCGAAAATCCCTGTATCTGTCGAGACGACATCAGATGATGAACCCTGAATAATGTGCGCAACATGGGTCATTCAACTCAAACTTCGAGGCTACATCTTCAACTGGACAATCTGGATCAAACTCTTACTCAAGTCCCTACTCCTGGTAGGACCAGTAAGCAAACAAGAAAGCAAAGAAGAATGAGTGCTAAGCTGCTTCTGTTGCAGACTACTTGACAGGGACAGCACAAAAAACGAAAAGTAAGTTACTAGAAATTAGGGCAGTCATCAGTTAAGAATGGTGAGGTAAATACTGAGCACATATGACAGAAGAAATTTCACTGACATCTCAGTGACCATCGACTAAAACGATCCTCTGAAATCCGTGTTATACACGACAAACCCTGAGCCGTAAGAGATACTACCAGAAGATTGGCAAACACTCAGTGACCAACCAAAAATGTGGTTCAAGGAAGTTCTGAGTTGGTCAGTGGCAGTCAAGATGAAGCTCACGAACACGACAGGCAACAGTGGTGTTGGCCATTATGCAGCATAGACCTTAACAACCTAACGTAATTGACGCTCTCAGGATACTTGACCCGTCACACATCACGACAGCTAAGCATTCGCGTCTGATGTATGTGAAATTCATAAACCAATAGGAGTTCACCGGGGCATTTTAGGCCTGGTACACTTGAAAAACGACCTGTCCAGTAACATCAATTGTTCGAGAGCCGATCACGTTATGTAAGACAACAGCAGAAAACGCACGTTTGTGCCGGTCGACGTTGATCGATAACCAACCGTACAGAACACAGAGACAACGGTCCTGCTAATGAGATGTGCTAAACAGCCCCAATCATACAGCGGCCAGTTTGCACGCAACTGACCAACACACTTTAAAATGCAGAAGGAGGAGCAGGCGATGAAACAGACCAGGAGAATAAGAGATAAGCGCAATTCTTCACTTTATGTAAAGAGAATTCCTGGACTAACCAAACATATGATGACATCACGAGATGGCGCAAGGTCGGAAAACCCTCAAACTGAAATTGTTTACTTATTCGAGATTGTCCATACGCACTTACCGATAGGAAGAAGTGATCACGTGCAATCGTTTTCATCATGGTCGCAAATGAAATAGTTTGGATCGACGATAATATTTCTTACCTTAACTATACTATGGGAGCCTACACGACAACTGTCTGCCGATTGTCACGCTAGAGCATGATATGAGGCTTACAGCCTCGGAGAGCCTAGATACCAACTCCAAATACAGATGGGATGAAGCCAAGTTAAACGCAGTTCTTCACTTTGTGAGATGAGAACTTGGCTCGATTACCAAGGAATTGTTCTTGACTCTTTTGAAAACACACACGTGGTCCCACATTCGAGCTCACGGTGTTAACGCTCTCACCTGCTCTCCAAAAGAGACACAAACCTTTCAGAACAAATACAGAGAAGTACAAACAAGATAGTGATAGGGCTAATGAATAGATCTCACGAACACAGACTCCAGCAATTGTGATTGTTCTTGCTGATCAATAAAAGAAGAAGAGATAATATGACAGTGCCATGAATCATTCTCAGTACGCCAAATAATCTCAATACAAATATACTACCGGAACATCATCACACTCGTGGAGTCAGTTATAAAACTATTGCACATCAAAGAGCAAACGGATTGGCACGTTCTCACTTTCTCTCATTAAGAGTTGTCCCATTTATGATTGCTATTTCAGCCGAAGTGACCACAGCCTCATCAGTGGGTAGCTTTAAAAGGAGACTCGACAAACACATACTCACCACAGATTATCGCCTCTGCCTTGGATCAGCTGTACCTGATTCATGTCTCGTAGCCTAACTACTGTTATGATCATCATACATCAGTAACTAATTCCCATCTCATCAATTATTACTGCCGTTTCTCTTCCACCTCACATGTCAGTCTCCTCACACTGTTCATTAGCTTGATTAATTGGCTATCAATCTATCTACTTATTCAAACAATCGTCTTCTCGTAGCATCTCAGTTTTCAATTTATTGCTTTTCACGTTGCGACCAACCTACCTCCTATCTAGTAATGTGATAGTTTCAAGTATCCAGAGACCCTTCTGCTCTCGTACAAATGCACCCATTCAAATTTAAATGCTCACAAATAACCACCAAGCTGACGAAAGTTAGTGGAGTCGAGTAGCTGGGCTAGAGCCTAATAAACATTACCAGAGACCTGAAAGTGTACTGAAACGACAAGAATTGAAAGCAAAAATGTAATCGTTTTGTGAAAGATTGTCACGAAGAAATTGGATATCGGACTTGTCAACCAGCTGCATCGTCACCGCGGCAACCTGTTTATTTGTTGCGCCATAGATAATGGTAAGCGGGTCGTTAGTTATCATTTATTCATTTTATTAACTTGTCTCATCTTCTTATCATCACCTCATAAAGTAGTTGCAACTGACATTAAGTATAAATATGTGAGTGTGGATTAGAACTTACCAAATATCTAATCCATCTGTTCAGCATATATCATATCTCACACATACAAATCGTACGATTGGTATGTGTTGTACCGTCGAAGTATATCATTATTTAAAAGTAATACTTATATCCCTAGTCCTGAACTTATCATGAGCCAGCTCTCCAATGCTCTAGATACATATGGTTTGTATTACAATGACGTCATCACCTGTCATTTGCAAAAGACAGAACTAGGTAATATAAGCACTTAAGTGAAGATATTTGGTTTCGAAAAACGTGTGAAGTGTCTACTATTGGAAATAAACAATAAATTAACTGAATCTCCGGATGGCTGTTAAACATATTATGAGTTGTCGTAATCCACTTGATTCCTTCGCTCCATGTTCTGCCAAAAAATGATATGAGGACTTTGACAACAATTTTAATATGTCTGATAGAGCAATTAAAGTAGTGAGTTCCACAGAAAGTTATGTGTTGATTGATTTTGACTTCGAGTAAGTGAATTTGTCTCAGGGTAATTAGGCTTTTTGAAACCCGATGTCACTAAGAAACTCGTTGATTTGATAGTGTATAGTTAATTGGTTAGGTGCAGAATTAGTGTATTTTCTAGATATTCGCCAAAAAGGCAGCGTTGGGACGAGACTAAACCAGGACTGCTACAAAAGCAAGTCGTCTGGCAACTTTCCATGTTAAATAATGAACCGCTTCAATTTTTCATGACTCCCGTACCATCAGGTCCTTTAACCTACAGAAGTATATATGCCTACCTGTCTACCATAATGTTTTCCTCACCACAGGGAATTAATTAGCATTGACAGTCAGTACTTTGTACATTTGAGTGATCCTAAATCATGTAGGTTCAGTCTTCGACCAGTTTACTATTTGCGTCTATGTTCTTGCTTAGTGTATCATTCTTTTTCTTCATCTACTTCACCTTGAGTAACGTCTCAAACATTTTAATGTTCGAAACTTGACACTCGTCTAAGTACCTCCACTGACCATAACTAGGTATGTACTCCAGGCTGCAGTGGCTCAGTAGTTAGAGTGTTCTATTTTCAGCTACTAAGCCACATGTTCGGATCTCGCGCCACTGCTATGGGAACATTAACTAAGCTTGTGGTATACTTTCCTTAGTAAGTGTTACATTAGGTCACTTGTAATTTGAAAAAGATTAAAACTGTGATCTACCCATCTATCAAGTTATATAAGAACCTGAAGAAACCTATCACGTTTGAACAAAAACCAGTGTTTATTTGTAATTTCCCACTATATCCAACTTTTTCACTAACATAGTAGTGAATGACTTCTCACAATAACCATGGAATCTATGATTGACGTAGTTTACATGCGGTAAGGTCTTGTCTAATGAGTATTTCAAAAGAATCTGAAAACTTGGCATGTACTAAGTGTATCTAAGTCTCTTGTGGTTTACGTGCAGGAAGCAATACCTTAAGACTAGCTGCACTGAAACTCATCGCTCCATGTTTCTCAAATCCGAGTACGTAAAGGCACTAGCTGAATGAGCTGTTCTAGGTAAATAACACTGATTTCACTCTCGAGCCTTCAATATATATTAAAGTTTTGGTTGGTTTGGCAAAGGAATTATTTTTGGCTATAGATACATATTCTGTCCCTGAGCTAAGATTAAAAGACCTGATTGTGATTGCTTACCCGGCATTATTTAGCAATTTTGATGTGTTTTCGAACTGTTGTGGTCCACATATATGTATTCACTTTTCAGTGTTAGGACCCAAAATTGAATTTTGTAGTTTCAGTCAGTCGCAACGTAAAGCCTAGTACGCATGTCCATCGGTTCAAGTTGGCATACCCCATTAGCACAGAGAGATGAAATTTCCAAACCAAATCCCAGAATAGTGGACGTAGTGACAGCATGCTTGGTGATCGAAAATATTAGGTATCGAAGATATGATTCAAGAAAATGTAAATTAGTGAGATGAAAAGATAAGTAAGTTAAGAAGAATTCAGAAGCTCAAAATTTGGAAGAAGGCAAAAATCGGATGTACCTGCGCCATTGTAAACTATTTTGAGCCATATCATACAATATTCCTAACCATTAGTTACAGGAATTACGCAGACCCTAACCAGGTAGTCTATACCCGCAAACATGACTCAGTCCATTTGTCCATGACCTTCTAGATTGGTGTCACGTCTCCGTCTGACAGCTCCTAGTAATTTATCAATTTACTCCTACACCAGACAATACTGACTACCGTGATAGACAGTGGTTGGCTATACGAAATAGATGTTCCAACTATTTCAATAGATAAGGATTCATTACCTCATCAGGTTATTTGGCATGTTTACCTAATACCCTATATGTAACTCCGACGTTACTAACATGATGGTCCCAAAATACAAAAGGAATACTTCGAAGACATATGTGGTTAAGCGTCAGTAACTTACTAATATCCTCAATTTTCACTGACTATGGTTCACATTTATGAGGCAGAACGGAACGAATCGCTGCGCACTAAACTTACAAAAGATCGAGTATTCAATGATGTGATACAGGCAGCTCTATTTTATACCTGCAAACTTGGCCTTCTAGTTAAAGATGTCTGACGGCTATTTCCAAGCAGTGTTAACAACATATTATGGAAATCATCATAAACTGCATGTTTGAAATACGTGATACATATAGCGGAGGCTGAGATTGGTGTTCTGAACTAAACTGACCGGGTTAGGTGAGAACCTACTATCTCAGAGGATCAATAAGAACTTGGAGTTGACTCTAGGTTGTTCGTGCCCCCAAATGCCCTGGTACGGTCGAGAGTGGGGAGAGTCCGCTCTCCCTCTCGAAATGCTCTCACATGGCCACGCGTGCATAGCCCCTGCCAGGGAAGTCCTACTCACTGCCTTCACGTGGCGAGGGTGTTGTTTACGAAAATGAGAGGACGAAAAGCGAATGTTCGGCGCTATAACCGGACCCCAAACCAATGGTGCACATGGACTCCAGTATCCTGAAGGAACAAATGGCGTATGAACCAATCGTTGGTCACCGGTTACCATGGGACTGCATCTCCTCACGATGCTCCACTGTCTTGTGGGTCAGACGTTCAGGTCAAAGGCTCGGGGTGTGGTCCCCTAAGAAAACCACCTGCTTCGGTTTGGGCACCCGAGCAGTATCACAGCCCTCACACAAATCAATTGAGATTCGTGTGGCGCATATGTATTTGGTGCTTCCTTGTACCAATACCTATGTGTTAAAATAAATAAATAAAATAAACTAGGTTGTTCGTAATGGTTTATGCGTCATTGGTCTGGTCAATAAGTCGGTGTTCTAATTAACAATTTAGTCACACGATAATTAACAGGGCATAAAAGACAACAGTTTTGGTTGCTTTTAACTAACTAATGGACTGAGAAAAAAAAGCAATATAACAGTTTCCTAACTAATCAACTAATTAGAACTTATGTTAACTTTCAAGATGACTGTATATTACATATTTGAAGTCACTTAGTAAATCTTAATTTCCAGTGTTTATTTAATCAGCTAAATAACTTAAAATATTTAGTATTTTCATAAATGTTGGTATTGTTATGCTGTAATTGATTTGTTAATCAATAGTAGATAGAATTGTAGATGGATGAATTTTTGTCCCATATTCTTTGCATTATTACTCAGTTTAACAAGCTACTTCACACTTTTGTAATTATGATAAATGCTAATACATACTAAATCACTTGTTTATATTTTTTTAAGTCAGAAGTAGAAGAAACATTTAAAAGATTGTTAGCACACAAAGGAGTCATTGGTGCAATTATTGTAAGCTCAGATGGTAAGCAATATAGTTGATATTTAGTAGTTTTACCAATCATTGATCCATTCGTTTTTATTATAAACAACATTAGATATATGTGTAAATGTACGCCTCAGTATGAAAGTAGGCTATTTTTATAGATTGTTTTCTGGTTATTGGGAACCTTTCATTTAATTAGGTAGGCGTCATAAATCAAAGCCTGTTTCCCAGAGTTATCGATAATGATTTATTATTTATTTATTTATTTATTTAAACACAGAAATTGGTACAAAAGGTCACCAAAAGATATATGTGCCACACAGAGTAGTTATCATTTAATTTGTGTGTTTTGAAATATCGTTTGGGTACCCAAACCGAAGCAAATGGTTTTCTTAAGGGGTCACTCCCCGAGCTCTTAACTTTGAGATTTAATCCACGAGGCAGTGAAACAACGTTAAATGCAGTCTCATGGAAACCCGTGATCGAGAATAGATTCATATGCCAATTGTTTCCTCAGGATCCTAAAGCCCATGTCCATCGTTGTTTTGAAGTCAGGGTTTTATATCTCTAGGTGGATCCTTTGTACTCACAAACTGGGTCTAAGCGCTGAATTTTGTAAACAACACCTCCGTCACGAAAAGATAGTGAGTATATATATGTGACCATATAAAAGCATTTGGAGGAGAGTGGGCCGTCCCTACCCTCAACTGTACTAAGGCATTTGGAGGCTGTCTTTCGAAAAACAAGCGTTTTGATAACTTCACATTCCTCAAAATGTTATGTCTTATCATGTTACCATCTACCTAGCTGAAATCGCTTAAATTTTAATTACATATAATAAATTTAAATAAACCAAAAACATTAATTATAGAATACAATAAACTCATATTTCGATTCAACTACACACATAATCTGAAATATTAAAAAATGGATTAGTCAATAAAAACAGATAAAGTGTATAAAATGTAAACGTAAATATCGTTAAGAATTCAATGTTAACAGGCTTCTATAAATGCTTGGAATGACAGTTTTAGAATATTTCATTAAGATAGTTCTCATTACGTAATATTAACAAAAATCCAAGAAGTTTGTCAAGAAGAGACAAGTAAAATCGAACTCATCAAATTGTATTTATCTTTAATAGAATAAGAAAATTAGTAAGGTAGGTCAATATTGTTGTGTCTTTTATCCGACTTATTATCACGTGACTTATTCGCCAATCAAAATACGATCGAAATACAATTTTAGCACTATGTCAAACAAATGACGTATCGACCGGTATGAACAGCCTAGTGTTCTTTTGATCCTGTTTCCTAACCCGTCCACTTGAGTCCAGAAATCCAATAACAGTTTCCACTATGCGAATTCTTTACCAGACAAAAAGACCGCAACGCACGATAAAATAGGAAATAACATTTATACAAGATCAGGCCAAATAGTGACTGTGAACGTGGGAGACTGTAATCAATAAACTGAACATAAATTAAGAACAGCAAATCGTATAGTAATAATCTATCAGTCAAAATGAAGCTTATAATAAGAGGAATATAGATATACATAATCTAGTTACTGAACAGTTATATAATAGGAATATTAGTCCATTAGTAGATCTCAGATGTTACCCGTAATTTAATCTTCACTAGGATATAACAAGCATCTTAGCTACCAAAATAGATGAAGGTCAGGTTAAAGCCTAACTACCTATGGCTTTCACGACTTTTCATAATATACAGATGGATTATTGATTGATTATTTTGGATGCATTTATTATATCCACTTCGTGTCCCATCTCAAGTAAATGTGATACACCCTACTTAATCAGAAAGCATCTCAACAAACTGTTTATTTACATTTGATTGATCATTGAGTAAGTAGTGACCAACTTCATATATCTCAAGTCTTTCTTAGCACTGATCAAGTTGTTATTTGACCACTACTCTAGGTGGTAATATATCTGACTGTGAAATTGGGTGACACAGAATCGAATCTACCAAGGAGTATTAGTTCCTTCAAAATTACAGGTACAACTTGTTGACGAGCACGAAACCTAGTTCAAGCAAAGATTTTTGTAGACCAACACCTTAAAGTTGAAGTTCATATTGGTTTAGATATTGTCCATCTCCTAAATTGTTATATCTCGACGAGAATAATAAATGGTAACTGTTGGGATCTATTTACGGACTAATACTATACATACATTTTCATTGTATAATTGTTAATTAACTAAACTATTCATATTCGTGTTCCTCTTATTATAAGCTTTATTTTGACGTATAGACTTTTTATACGACTTATCACTCTTAAGTTATGCCCAGTCTATCAATTACAGTCTGCCGTGATCACAGGTACCTTTGTCTGTACCTTGTACAAATGTTATTTTCTACTTTGTGGTGTGATGTGCTGTTTGGCTTATATATAAACCCAGTATGTTTGGAATATATGATTCATATCGCGGAGGCTGAGATAGGTGTTCTGGACTCAACTGGCAGGACTAGGCAGGAAGAAGAACCAATGAAGACTTTAGACTGCTCGTACGCGTTTGTGCGTCATTGGTCCGATCGATAATTCACTGTTTTGTAATAGGCGGTACCATTACGTTATATATTAATAGGGCACAAGTTATAACATAAATATCGCTCATTTCTAAACTAAAAATTATGTCCAAATACTTCTATTGTGAAATTACACTGTCTTTACATACTAATATCATTTTAATTCATCAGACCAGTTATCTTAATAGTTTTCTGTAAACTAGTGTCGAAAAGGAAAGTCTATTCGTTAAATTGTCTTTATTCTTTTTCAATAATGCAATTGATCTTCGTTATTTGGACTGATGTTTATTGTTCTTGTCATACAAAAATACCTTATTTGCTTTTCTAAGGGATCGCAGTAAGAACTTCCATGGACAACAGTACCACAAATCATTACTGTGGTCTTATTCAACAGTTGGTAGCAAAATCTCGTTCTGCCGTTCGTGATTTAGATCCATCTAATGATTTAACATTCCTGCGTATACGGAGTACTCGAAATGAAATTATGGTTGCACCAGGTAGTTTTTTTCCTTATAATTACTTTTCCTCGTTTTATGTTTATTTATCTCAATCTAATGGCTTGAGTAGACATCAACAAACAAAATTTGTCTAACTATGAACCTATGTTCATATTTTAATGCTATCTAATTTTATTTATTTATTTGAACACATAAACATTGTTAAAAGAGGGCACCAAATACATGTGCACCATACAATAACAATGAGACCAGTTATCATTGATTTGTATAAGAGCTGTGATAATGCCCGGATGCCCAAACCGAAGCACGTGGTTATCTTAGAGGGTCACTCCCCGAGACTTTGACCTGAAAGTCTAATCCACAAGGCGGTGGGGCGACTTTTGGAGATACAGTCCCATAGTAGCCGATGACCAACAATAGGTTCATACGCCTTTTGTTCCTTCAGGATCCTGAAGCTCGTGTGCACTGTTGGTTTGGAATCAGGGATTTCCAACTGCCCTATCTGGATCCTTCATATCTAATTAAGATACTAAAATCAATTTTAACATTCATGTTATAAAAATTAGTCGTTAGTTAGCTAGTTTCATTTGATAACTCCCCTACCGATAGGGACATTCAATTTATGTTTGTTGATGTTCTGAATTATTGACATTAATTTTAGCCCATATCACGGATTGGTCGTAGTTAGATAAGTATTGGACAAATATTTATATGCAAGATAAGGTTCCTCAATGTGAATTTACATCCATGACCCTACCGAAGCGTTCAAGTCTCGATCAGGTTGTATTTGATGCAGTTACTTTTAGAAAAATATGTTATTCTATTTTCTTTTCTATTCGCTTACTCAAAAACATTTTTTTTTCAACTTTCTCTTATTTTATCGACTTAGATCGTGATTACAGTCTCATCGTTATACAGGAAACAAGCACAGAATAAAACGTTTTGTTTTTATATGGTTTTAGATCTTTAAAGAAAACAATAATATTTATGCTTAATAACTAACGGTAACTTAACTTTATGGTTTTTTGGTGTTATGAATCCATTTTTTTAAATGGCTGTTATTGTCATTCTATAGAACTAATAAATCGGTTGGTTAATAATGTCATAACTAGATTTTCTTGTTTTGGGTTCGCATCTTTTGTAGTCCTACTGATCATTATGTAATTCTATTCACTTTAACTGTTCTGATCTACTTACCAAATATGATCGTACGGTGATGGGTGAGTAGTCAAATCGTTCTACTTTTGAGCACTAAGTCGTTTCAGGTCAGATATCCTGTCCTATTTACTCCAGTTTTTCCAGGAATTCAAAAAAGTGTATAAGAATGAATAATATATGCTTAAAGTCGAATAAAACTAGGATTTCATAATAGTTAGATGTATTAGTATTATTTTACTAACTAAGAATTCCCGTAACAGTGCAATTTAAGCCTGACAGAACTAGATGAGCACAAACGAGCGTATTGAATTTATGATTCGAAATCAACGGTCAATCCAGTATAAAGGAATCATTAGTTTGTACAAGTACCACAAAATTATTTGTATTGCATGTACTAGACTTTTCTAAGATTAGTTGCCTGTTTAGAAACTTATGCTTCAAATCACATTCTTGTGTAAAATATCGACTTACGACGAAACAGTTACGAATTATCTTCATATGTACTAAAAATAAGATTGTTCATATTCTGAAAGTTTTTGTACATTTCAGTATAATCTAGTTTGTACTAACAGTAGTTTCATGTTAGTCTTCTGATTAGCGCAGTAATCCCATAATATTGTCACTTCCATAGACACGGAAATACTTGGGATACACGACGAGTTTAGTTACTGCGATAAAAGGTATCAAGAGCTATTACTTACTTTGTGTTCTCAGTATCTGGAGGACAGGTACTACATATTTATTGATGGGCATTTGTCAGCTACATCATCAAGGAATAAAACGATTATAAATTGTTCACAAATATCTCCCTAACAAGTTATAAAAGGTGGGTTGTAAGAACCCTTTTCGGTCATGATCATAACTCGACACATGTCATCAAAATGTATCGGCAACAAATAGTACCAGCTTAGGGTTGTATATATTGTTGAGTTTTGATTGAGATGAATGGATTAATGTTAAACCACCATTGAAAACCTGGGAATACTGCACGGCCGTTTCATACTAGTATGGGATCCCTCATCATGATATAACATTACTCGGACTCAGGGCTTATCTGCCTCCGGCCATGACTGGGCTAGTAATTTCATTGTCGTTTTGCTATTTTGGAACCACGATGATATCTTGATACGTGTTCTTCCCCCGACTGTTGTTGCTACCTTGACGTGGTGGTCGGGCTTGCCTATCGTGATGAAGCAACTGAGCTGTACTGGCTGGAACAACCGTTCCTCAAGGTCCTACCATGCGGTAAGACTAAAAGCAACAAACCCAAGGTCCGAAGGCGAAGTCGTACTCCTGACTGTACAGAGGTGTGACAGCAGTAAGGTGTTTCCTTCAGACAACCAGCATAACGGCGATGCTGCCTTCTCACAAGTAGGGGTGGGGTCTGAAAAGGTCGACCCTAAAAATGCACACCTCGCCTTATCCCACAGATATCCATCTCCGGCGGTGAGGTCTCAACAAGTACGGAGCTAACACAAAAATTACTCATAAAAAGGTCGTGTGTGACCGACCTCAAGCAGCTGTCCCTTGGGCACTGTGGTCACGCTCTCAGGTCACTAAGACCACCTCTACTCCAATTTCTTTTTCAGGTACCTCCAGCAGAACCCTTCCACGGTGTAGGCAACCGGGAAGTGATAACCGCCCTCATACCTCTAACAGCATTCAAGACCACTGTATTCATAATCAACCTCCCTCTTCAATTCCTATTATTCCTCCTCCTACATCGACTTTCAAATCTAAGCCTCCTCTTTTGGTTTCCTCCTCAAGTGTCACCATAGCCAACGATTCTGGTGCGCAAAACACTGTTCCAGGTCTACTGAAACCTCGCTCCAAACTACGTATTGCAGCCTTCAACGTACGCACATTATGTCAAATCGGTCAGTAGGCTTCTTTGGCTAAAACCATAGAATCTCGTACGATTGATGTATGCTGTGTCTCCGAAACACGCATACAGGATCCTAGTGCGCCCCACTGGAGGCGAAAAAAGACACATTAAAAAGACCCATTAGAATTGAACTGAGTAACGAGAAAACCAAACGTAGGTTCCAAGAACAACTGAGGTCACACCTAGGTAGTTTTGAAAACGAGGCTGACCAAGATGTCGCTTGGAAAGATATACAATCAGCTGTGGAAACATCTGTGACACCTATTAGTGATTTAAACCAAAGGGTTACAAAGAACTAATGGATTTCTTCAAGGTCTATTGCACTGATGGATTCGCGTAAACTCATTACATCAGGTTTTGAACACGACGAAGAGCGAAAACAAATCAGATCTAGGTTAACCGAAAGTCTAAGGAACGATCGTGAGCAGTGGTGGGCAACGAAAGCAAAAGAGATGGAAAAGGCGGCGGCTACAGGGAACACAAGACAACTCTACAGACTAATAAAAGAAATTGGAATTAATAAGTCAAGTGTAAGTCAGACTATTTCGGGAAAAAACGACACTCTCATCTGCTCCCAGTCCAGACGTTTAGAACGATGGGCGGAACATTTTAGAGAACAGTTCAGCTGGTCTTCAGCTACTCTACAACTACCCTCCATTCCCAGACAGTGTGAATGGAACATTGAAGTAGGTCCCCCTAGTCTAGCTGAAGTCCAAAAGGCCATAGATAATCTGAAACGAGGAAGGGTAGCCGGTCCAGATGGATTGGCTCCGGAGGTCTTTAAGGATGGTGGACTAGCTATAGCGATTAGATTGACCAATATTTTGGCTAAAATCTGGGAGTTGGACCTAATCCCCTCTGACGGGTCACAATCAACCATTGAGGCTAGTATTTTAGATACTATATTAGTCAAATTAATCCGTCCATGGTTTTCACAGGATGATTTTGACCCTTTCTTATATATTTGGACAGTCATTTTCCAAAATGATGACAACAGTGGAAGGCAGAAGAATCTGTCGAGAGCTGTAACGTATGAATTCACTAATATAATTTGAAAAATAACTGGATTAATTAAGTGGATATTAATAGTGGGAGAATCTTTTTTGTGTTCGTAATTAAGTGTAGGTGTTGAATAACTAACTCCACAGTGTGAGTTGATGGATTGAGAGACTGAGTTTTTTCTATGTAGTGACTGGAAATGCAGTATTCATGTGTGTTTTTACAGTGGTTGAGTGATATCAGATCATCAGGGGATGTTATTAACAATATCAATTTAATTTTCGCCCCTTCAATATGCAGAATATTTGAAAAAATGTGCGTATTGAAAATTCATCAACATTATCTTTAGAGAGATATATAAAGATTTGGTTGTTTGGGTCATTTATTGTCATGTAGTTTGTAATCCAAAGAGGTCAGTCTAGAGCGGGATAACTTAAAGATGATGTACCTGACTTTGAAGCAGGATGACATGGAATGTGATCCGCCAGGGAGAAACAGTTCTGTCAAATTATAGGTATCATCGTAATTCCAATGAGTTTTCTCTCTTCGGACATTTGAGATACTGTGTACTCTGAAAAATCCAAACTGTTTCTATGTCTTGAACTCAAGCCATGAATACCGTTGAGATGTTTTTGGTGCGTATTTGTGTAGAACTGGATTTTGGTTCGGCTTGGGACCTGCGGCAACCTTTTAGTGGCCACTGGTGGAGTTACCGATCAGGTCACTGTGTTATAGTGGATAGTGTTACAAAAAGCGGCTACTCTAAAGCTGTAAATAGTATGAAGATTAGTTGGTGTTTAAAAATTTTAGATGAGAGGTGACTAGTAACATTTTACAATATCGACTTTATCTTCAGCTGTTTCGGGTGGAAAAGTTACGCGTTCGTAGAAACTGTTCCTTAGTTGTTGTCTTCGAGCACGGTCCGATCAGTAGAAGTTAATAATGCAAGAATAAAGATCAAAACAGGTTCTGAAAATGCAAATGCATACTAACAGTCCGAAAGATTAAGAGAGCTTAGTGGAAATTCATCACTTAACATTTAAGCATAAGAATTTGGGATTGTTATTGAAGCAAACATGTTAATGGCGATGTAAGCACGATTACATTTTACACTTAGCGGGTCAGTTGTAACTAAGTGGTGAATTGGTTACATAAATGTTGTAAGTTTAAAAACCTGATACATACAAGTAGCCGGGTGAAAAGAACGATAATACAATTGCAAACCAAACAAAATAGCTGATCAATAACGACGTAATTATAAGTGGCATTAATTCACCAAGAAAAGTTAAGGTAGAGAGTGTAGTGATTAGATTCTTCCTGTGCTTACAACGCCAACACCAATTACACGAAGATATGTTAATAATGGTGATAACAATAATAGCATTTTAATGAGTCAAATTTTTGTTTTGAAAATACAGAAAGGTAGGCCCGATGAAAATTGGTTAAACTGGGTCATTTAATATCTCATGTGACTATTGGTATATTGAGCGTGGTTTTAGACAAAGTAATAAAGTAACTGTATATGTTCCTCCTGTTATTTATTATATTATTTATTATTTGAACACATAAATATTGGCACAGAGGGGCACCAAATATATATGTGCCACACAAAACAATCAGAATTTAAAGAGAAGGGAAGAAAAAAAGAACGGAGTGTAAAAAAAGGAACAATAACGAACAGATTAGTGTAAGGTAATGTAATATTAATAATAATGGGGGAAACAAAAAGGTACAATCAGAAATCCTTCAGTTAAGGAAGAAGAAACCGCTCTTTATGAAGAAAGTAAAAGAAGGTAACAGAAGGATCGCCATTGGCTTCTATTCTTAGCCATATCTGATAACGTCTCTAGTCACTATGTTAGATCATCTCTCGGATCCCAACCAGGGAGTCGTGAAGAACCAGCAGAAGCCAGTCCCGTGCAGCTTTCTTTCATACCATGACACCATGTCATACACTGACCAGCTCACCACTTTTTCCAACCAGTCCCAGAGTCGGCAAATAATGCACGACGAGGAATTCCCTGGGACGACATTCGTAGAACATGTCCAATCCACCAAAGTCGA